ACACACACACACACACACATATGGTCAATAAATATGTAGGATCCAGTTTGCTTCCTTGTGCATTTTCAAAATTATAAAATTTGATTAATTTCATATCATCATACTTACATTGATTTTTAAAAACAGATGTATTTAAATTAAAGCATATTTGATATCATTTTTTTTGAAAAGTTTTTTTTATTGTCATCTACTATTAAATTTGTAACATATACTGAATTTTTTAAACATGTATTGTTACCATAAAAAAATTTTTATTACTTTTATAATACATGGTGGTGAAATTTTACATCTATTGTTACCATCTTCAACCTAATTTTACATATATTCTTTTATAATTTTCAAAAAACATAATTTTTAAATTTTGATATGTGTCAATGCAGTTTTAAATTTATTTTCTTAAGAATTTCAATTTTAAAATTTGATGTGTGTCAATACAGTTTTAATTTTATATATATAGACACACACACACAAATATATTCATATTTGGAAAATCTAAGCCTATATAAGTTATACCTATTCAGATATTTTTAATTATAATACACAAATACATACATTTGTAAATCAAAACACCCTTTATTTAATTATAGAATTATTTCTTAATCTCCGTCTTAATTTACCTTGTGTTTATTTAATTATAGAATTATTTCTTAATCTCCTAACATGTTAATCCTATTTTTATTGTTTTTAGAGTAGTACTTGCAGTAATAGTTTTTTAAATTGTGGCCTGTTGATATAAATATTAAGGAGTACTATATAAAAACGATATCTATGAAATTTTTTCAAACCTTAATTTGTGTACTGTTTTATATTACATATTAAAAAGCATATATTCTTTTTTATACATGTATCGATATGTTGATGGTTACTTTTCTTTTCACCATAAAGTCACGGATATATGATCTCAATACCTGGAGAAGTCAAGCCGGATGAACAAAAGACTACCGGAAATGGGTGTATGAAACTTGGATGTAAGAGAACTTGGCTTTGTTTGTGGTGAATCTTGCACGGAGTATTAATGTATAAATAGCAAGTTCAATAAGACACCTCACTCTAATGCATTAATTGTCCAAGTCCTTTAAAGATTTCACAATCTCTACATTTAATGTTGAATGAGACATAAAGTAATTTTTACATTAAAAGTAGTGCTTGGTTTGATGGCTGCCGTGCCCACACTATTCGAGGTAGACATAAAGGTATTGGAAGAGACATTAAATACCCTCCTACTTTAAAGATTTCTAAAATCTATTAATTTAATATTGAAGAGACATAAAGGTATTGGGAGTGTAAAGCATGCTCACGTGTTTCAAGAAAGGTGGCAGATTACCTTTCGGCCCAGGGACAGGAGCTCAAGAGATTTTGCAGGATTAATTTTCGGCCCAGGGATAGCAGCCCAATAACAGAGAATCGGCCCATTACTTTATGGCGGGAACACTGTAGAAATCCTCCTCACACCATTGTATAGATAGAGATTTCTTTCATTAATTTGGAAACATATCTAGATATGATAGCGACAGATTCAATTGTAGCACTAAGGCTGATCTCGTTTCGAGGAAAAAGATAATATCTTCAGTACGAGATTTAATTCATGAATTCATAGAGTGAGGAATCTTTACTAGTTCTTATACCAACATCGCATATAAGTTCGGGATCTTCACTAATGATTCAGTATGTTTTTGTGATGCCATTTCTTCTCTGGTTGTCGCACATACATTTCATTGCTAGGATTCTAAAAATATCATTGATAATAATCTTCAGAGATAACGTAATCGTATTGATCGTTTTGTAGTCCACAAAGAGAGGTTTATCATAATGTTTAAGTCAGGGTAGTTTTACTATTGTGATCGAGTCACGTATTCAATAGGGTATAGTTTCCAAAGATCGATATCATGGTACCACCGAGTATTATTTTGGTTCCAATGAAGAATCATGGTTTTAGTATTTTGATACAAAGAATGGAATTCAATCTTTTCAAGATTGATCAAGCGAGATGTTTTCAAGTGTGTAGTTAACACAACAAGTTTGAGTATTTCAAGGATATGAGTCACAAGATACAAAGATAGCGTTTGCGAATTATCGTTACTAATCGTAGTTTTTCTTCCTTCAATGTTTCACTCTTTAGAAATTACTCAAGAGGTCGTTGTCTTAGGAAATAGCCGTTTTGACTTTTCGTCTCGGATTTGAATGTGTTTCAAGATAGCGAATCTAACTGTTCAAGAATCTCAATACGTCATATCGTCAGTAGACTATAGTATTAGCGAGTACGTTCTCGTCTACAAGTAATTTGAATCCATTTTACTGTACGTATTTTGGCTAGTGATAATTACCTTTTCATCATTGGTCAGGTTTCAGACACTATATATATCAAGATTATGGAAAGAGTATCATTCTCACATTATGGAAGAACTTCTCGAACACTTCCTTACACCATAAGGTTCGTTGGTCTATTTGGCAGTCATTCTCTTGGTAGAAATCCAAAGTTTATGGTTACTGTGGTAGATTTAGGAAGGGAATTGATAAGGCGAAAAATTAAACTTGCTTATGGAGGAGGTAGTGTTGGCCTTCAAGGAGCTGTTGCTTCAACAGTCTTCACCAATGGTGGTCTCGTTAGAGGTTTTATTCCTGGGTACATAGCAACACGACAGGTTTACGGACCTACATACGGTGTAGAGCATACAGTTTCCAGTAATTACTACAAATATTTTGAGATAAATCATGCTGTGGAAGCTTTCATTGTTCTTCCCGGAGGAGTTGACACTATGGAAGGTTTGTTCACCTTGATCTCGTGGGCTTCTGAAGGGTTACACAATAGACCCATTGGTCTCTTGAACATTGACAGTTATTTCAATAACCTAATCAAGTTTCTAGATGATGCGGTGAGGCAGAACTTCATGGCTTCCAGTCAGAGGAAACATTTCATTTCTTCTTTCTTTGTTGATGAGCTTTTGGACAAGCTAGAGTTTGCTAAAGTTTTCCCGGATCCTGGGGCTAGTTACAACGAGTTTGTGAATCCTGGAAGACTAGACTTAGAATTGCATTTGTAACTTTCTTCATGTAATCCAAGTCGTATCTTGTGTTGAAATAATATTATTCATAAACATCAATGGTTAGCCACATGCAAGCTACATTTTCTTCATTCTTCAGTCTTTCACTGTTGGTGTCACTATTTCACGTCATGTTTTGTATCATCATCACGGTCGCGATCTTTTACGTCAATAGGATATTCGAACGAGTCAACTATCTTATTGATTTGTCTTGTCAGCATCACTTTACTTCATTTATTCAATCAGATTACATTGACGTTTCTGATGATAAGTAATTAGGTCATTAATCGCTTCATAACAAGGCATCAGTTCATTCAACAAGGTTGAGTTGTCTATAGCTTTTAACAAGCAGGTTCTTTGAATTTGATCGAACAAGTCATCAGTTTATAGTAAAGGATAGCAATTCTCGATCGTCAGTCTGTTCAAGTTTCTTAACAGAGATTTGTTAGTATCCTGACCGCAAGTCAATCTTAGAGAATATAATGGATTCTCTAAGCTGATCAAATAAGTCATGATACGAGGTAAAGGATAACGGATTGTTCAACTGACAGTAGTTGATATAGAGTCTTATTGATTCGCGTATGAACAAAATAGGTATTCTTCCAAAGAGGAAACACTTGATCAGATGATTCTTTGTCAGGAAGTCATTGATGAAAACACGCTCAATACAAAGTTACGAATATTGGTCCTTTCTAGGATCAAGATTGACAGAGAATTCAATTTCTCGAAACGGTGAAATATTAGGAAGTTCATATCAGAGAGGTGACATACTCTCGTACGTTACTTCAGTTCAGATGTTTCTTTTTACGTAGACTTCACACGAAAAGACTTTACGCTCCTTTTGGTTGAGAGGTTTGCACACATAAATTCGAGATGAACTCGGTCGGTTTAGAAATCAGCTTTGCTTTCACCTATATAAGGTTTCCATCATCGATCTTCAGTTGAAGAATTCTTCGTCAAGAGTTGTCAATACCAACATCGTTCGATCAGCCAATGTATACTAAGGATAATTGTCATATTCCTTGTATGGTATTTCAACGAGGTTTTGCAAGGAGTTGTCGCTTAATGAACGATTTTGATTCCTAAGATATAATCACATATTTGCATCTTGATGAGTTAGACATTAGAATGCGATACTTTAGATAACAGAGTTCATTAATTCTAGATGTTCGTTTTTGAATCAGCGATTAGATCGTCTTGAGTCCACATGAGGATCTTTGACATCGCCTTCACAGCTGTTTCTCAACAATTATCATTTCTTCATAGTCGTCTCACTTTCGTACCATTTTGCGATGCAGATCAGTTTCGTCCTTCGTGATGCGATGCGTACGTTAATAACGGATCAGAGGGTCATATTTTTTTCATTCATTCTTGCGTCTCTTTACTGAGTACGAAAGTTCTATTAGAGTCTAAGCTCGATACGATTTGAGTACTAATCAATTGTTATTTAATGAGAATTCTAACAGAGTAAATATTTACCAAGTAATTTTTCATACCTTTCCTGAAGCAGAGGGAGGCGAGAGTCGTGGATGTGATTGACTCAAATTTTTTTTATTTCAAATTTTGATCCGAAGATCGGTTTTAAAACCATTTGCTCTGATACCAAATTGTAACACCCTAATCCGTCCAGGTCTGCAGCCCCTTTCGGACTAAAGTATTAACTTGGTAATCGTAAAATTTAAAACTTTTCAAACACTTTTATTTATCATAATAATATTTTTCATATCATAAACAGTATAGAGTTTTCAATATTGCGGAAGCTTAACAAATCATAACCACAAACATAATTTATTTATATTCTTTAATTCAAAACCATCACATCCATTCCAACTATCTCGCCTCCGTCTGCCTCCAGGATCACGTCACATCATTCTATTGACCTGGGTGTAGCAAATAAAACACACTACACGCTCAGCGGTAAAGCTGAGTAAGCATATCTAATGCGTCGAACATCCACATAAATTGAATCTCAATTCATAATCAACCATTTGATATCATGCACATAATGTTCAGTTCAGATATTCAATAATCAATATTCAATTTTCAACATTCATTATTCAATCATTCAACATGTATATTCATCATTTGTCATTCAACAATATCCTTAAACTATTCTTTGTCAACCCTTAAATGAATTGTAGTTTAACTAATTAAACAATATTCCAGTATACAGAGTACTCCTAATAATCCTTAAGCTAGGCCCAGTTTAAGATAAAAGGGTTTTGGAAATCTTAAACTTACCTTCACTTAAGGCCAACCAAAAACCGACAGCGTAGTGATCACTGTTGGGTGGGTGGTACCCCCAAACGAGTAGGTACGCAAGTTTGGTTCCTGGATCCCGTACATACGTTTTAACCCTAGCCACCGGGCATCATACCCGCAAGGCCTAACTTATATAGGTATATCTTAGAGTTCTTCTAGATACCTTTCAAATCAACATTAATATGGGTATATCTTAGAGGTCTTCTAGATATCCTTAACAATACATATTATTTTCACAATCATCAATATATATTCATTATGATTCAATCATTCATAATTTCCATTTTTAATCAAAACATTTATCAAGATTTAATCATCATAATCATCAATCAATAATCATTACCATAATCACCAATCAACATAATATTCAATAACAATTAGCGGCCTAGCTTCNAATTGTTCATATTTCCAAGAATATTTTCGGAACACTGGAATTGAGGAAAAATCGATTTATTCAATAAATTAATACAAAAATCGATTTTTAAATATATATTAATCTATTTAAATATACAAAATCGATTTTTCAACATATATTAATCCATTAAATACACAAAAATCGATTTTTCAACATATATTAATCGATTAAATAGGAATATCGATTTTATAATATATTTTAACCGATTAAATACTAACAATCAATTTTATACCTTAATATAATCGGTTATTATTATTTTACTTTGATACGCTTTATCTGAACAAGTTTTAATCGATTCTTATCTAGGAAATAATCGATTTTCTGTTGCTGTTCATCATCTTCTTCCTCTGGTCTATTTTCGAAATTATCATTTTTAAACACCAAACTTTAATTTAATTATATAGAAATGTTCTCACAGGTTTATAGATCATTTTAGAATCATTAAAACATATTTTTAACATCAAATTCGAGGTTTATGATTCTTGGTTCTTCAAACATTTTAAACACAAAACTCAATCAAACGACCGTTTATGAACGTAGAAACGATCTATACGAACATTCTAGTCATTAGATATATCAACGGGCTTACCTCGAAGGTAAATGAAGGTTTTGAATATTTTCTGGCGAAACTTCCGGCGACGATTACTCCCAACTCCGGCGACCTCTCACCAAATTGACAGCACTACAGCGTTCTCCTTACTTTGAGCAACCGAATAGAAGAAGGAAGTATATGTTTTGGTGAAGAATTGAGAATGCTTAGCTCCCTTTATATAGTGGATTTGAGGGAGAAGAAGACACTTGTTGGTGAGCGTAGGAAGATTCACAATCTGCTTAGTGCGCTGGGAGGCGCCGTTCGCACAGTGTCCCTGATTGGGACCAATTTTGGTTCCAGTTGGGGTACACTTTTTGGTTCAACTTTCTCCGAATTGAATTCCGTTTGCACCGTTGTGATCGGGCAGTTAAACTCTATCTATTGATATAATTTTTATATTTATTTGTAATACTTTTTCCGACATCATATTTTTGAGTGTTTGACTTTGACAGAGTCAAAATTGATTTAGTTGATCTTTATTCAAAAAGGTTCTCACAATTAATTCATATCATTTATTCCCATGATTCATTTTAGTAAATCTTTTCAATATTTACATCACAAGTCAATTTCTTAATTTATTCTTGATTTGGGTCTGTACTCAGGTTCTCAATCAAGATCACACAATAAGTCAACAGGTTGGATTTATCTCTATGAGATTTAACCCAATTATGATTATTGGACATCAATATATATTTTATTTCGGTCCAAAGCCTAACAATAATTTATTTTAATCAAAACCAATTTTGTTTAATTGAATATTTAATTCAATAAATTTTAGGGTATATTTTGGGGCGTTACACTCTTTCTCTAAAGGCTTTGTGAAAATGTCGGCTAATTGGTTATGTGTTTCTACAAACTCAATTTCGACATCACCTTTGAGAACATGATCTCTAATGAAATGATGCCTAATGTCAATGTGTTTCGTCCTTGAGTGAAGAACGGGGTTCTTCGTCAAGCTTATGGCGCTAGTATTATCACAACGAAGAGGGACGTGATTGATACTAAGGCCATAGTCCACGAGTTGTTGCTTCATCCAAAGGGTTTGAGCACAACAACTACCGGCGGCAACATATTCCGCTTCGGTTGTGGATAACGCAACACTGACTTGCTTTTTACTAAACCATGAGACTAGAGAGCTACCAAGTAAGTGGCAAGTCCCACTCGTACTTTTACGGTCCAATTTGCAACCGGCAAAGTCCAAGTCGGAATAGCCAACGAGATGACAAGAAGAGCCTTTTGGATACCACAGTCCAACGTTAACCGTGCCGGCAAGGTATTTCATAATCCGCTTTACCGCCGTTAAGTGCGATTCCTTCGGACACAATTGATACCTTGCGCAAAGGCAAACGGTAAACATGATATCCGACCTACTAGCGGTAAGATAGAGAAGGGATCCGATCATACCTCGATACTTTTTGACTTCTACTTCCTTACCTTTCTCGTCTTTGTCAAGATGGTCTGACGTGCTCATCGGGGTCGCCATGGCTTTGGCGTTGTCCATTTCAAACCATTTTAGGAGCTCCTTGCAATATTTGGCTTGGCAAATGAACGTGCCATCTTTCATTTGCTTGACTTGGAGTCCCAAAAAGAATGTGAGCTCGCCCATCATTGACATTTCGAATTCACTTGTCATTACAGTTGAGAATTCCTTGCACAAAGATTCGTTAGTAGCATCGAATATAATATCGTCTACATAAACTTGAACCAAAAGGATGTTATTGTTTTTACTCTTGATAAAAAGTGTGGTGTCAACCTTTCCCCTTTGGAAACCACTATCCAAAAGAAATTTGCTCAAACGTTCGTACCAAGCACGGGGTGCTTGTTTAAGACCGTAGAGCGCTTTCTTGAGTTTGAAGACATGGTTGGGAAACTCAAAGTCTTCAAACCCCGGGGGCTGGTCAACATACACTTCCTCTTGAATAAAACCATTGAGGAAGGCACTCTTAACATCCATTTGATAAAGTTTAAAATCCATAGACGAGGCAAAAGCAAGAAGTAAACGAATAGCTTCTAAACGTGCTACGGGTGCATAAGTTTCTTCAAAATCAATGCCTTCTTCTTGATTGTAGCCTTTAGCTACAAGCCTAGCTTTGTTTCTAGTGATTATTCCATTTTCATCGAGTTTGTTACGGAACACCCATTTTGTACCAATAATCGTACGATCATCGGGCCTTGGCACCAATTCCCAAACGTCATTCCGTTTGAATTGGTTTAGCTCCTCTTGCATAGCCAAGGTCCAATGTTCATCGTTTATTGCTTCGGAAATGGTTGTAGGTTCAATTTGAGAAACAAAAGCCATGTGACCTACGGTGTGCCAAAGAGAGTTACGAGTACTTACCCCGCGGTTGATGCTGCTGATTACCTGGTCAAGTGGATGGTTCTTGTGCGTTCTCCAAGCGATGGGAAGCTCGGTTTCCTCTTGTTCCTGGGCTTCCTCTTGTTCTTCTTCGTCCGCTTGGTCCTCATTTTCGACCATCACTTGAGGTGTTTCCTTAGGTTGTGGTTGCGGGTTGGTGTATAATGGTGTGTCTTCTTCATCGTCCTAAACGTGTAATCTTTCGAGTGAATCTGCAAGATCATCAAAAATAGCCTTTCTCGCCAAGCGAGTATTATCTTCGGAAAACACAACATGAGGGGACTCCTCAATAGTCAAAGTACGTTTATTAAACACTCTATAGGCCTTGCTGCGAAGAGAATAACCAAGAAAAATCCCTTCGTCCGACTTGGCATCAAATTTTCCCAAGTTATCTTTGCCGTTATTATGAATAAAACATTTGCAACCAAAGACTCGAAGATGGGAAAGGTTTGGCTTTCTCCCTTTGTATAATTCATAGGGCGTTTTCATGAGTATCGGTCGANCAATAGTCAAAGTACGTTTATTAAACACTCTATAGGCCTTGCTGCGAAGAGAATAACCAAGAAAAATCCCTTCGTCCGACTTGGCATCAAATTTTCCCAAGTTATCTTTGCCGTTATTATGAATAAAACATTTGCAACCAAAGACTCGAAGATGGGAAAGGTTTGGCTTTCTCCCTTTGTATAATTCATAGGGCGTTTTCATGAGTATCGGTCGAATGACGGCTCGGTTTAACATGTAGCTCGCGGTACTCACGGCATCCACCCAAAAATACTTAGGGATTTTTGCCTCATTGATCATAGTTCTGGCCATCTTTTCGAGACATCTATTTTTACGTTCCACCACTCCATTTTGTTGTGGTGTACGTGGGGCTGAGAAGTTATGATCAATGCCGAGTTCGTCACACAAATCTGAAAACAGATTTCGTTCGAACTCTCCCCCATGGTCGCTTCTTATGGCTACTATGGTTGTATCTTTTTCATTTTGAACTTTCTTTAGAAAATTTTTGAAAACATGAAATGCTTAACTTTTATGAGTAAGAAACAAGGTCCATGTAAACCTAGAGTAGTCATCGACAATCACAAACGCAAAGTAATTGCCACCAAAGCTTTTTGTTCTAGAAGGACCAAAGAGATCCATGTGCAAAAGTTGAAGCGGTCTAGACGTTGAAACAACGTTCTTAGACTTAAACAAAGCCCGAACTTGCTTCCCCTTTTGACATGCATCACATATGGTGTCTTTTTCAAACTTAAGTTTTGGAATGCCAATTACTAAGTCTTGTGAAACCAATTTGTTCAAAAGGTTCATGTTCATATGAGCTATGCTTCGGTGCCATAACCAAGTGTCTTCCTCTTTACTCATGAGGCACTTAGCAAAGCCGGAAGGAGATTTGTCTAAGTTAACCATATATATGTTATCGATTCTATCACCACGTAGAATGACCTTATTGTCACTAAGGCGTTCTACTGTGCATGATTTTGAATCGAAGGTCACACGGTTTCCCTTGTCACATAATTGACTTATGCTCAAGAGATTGTGTTTAAGACCTTTAACAAGCAAGACATTATCTATAGAGGAGTTTTCAGATTTACCTACCGAACCAGTGCCGATAATCTTTCCCTTGCTGTTGTCCCCGAAAATTACGTTTCCTCCTTTGGCGGGCTTGATTTGGAGAAACTTGGATGCATCTCCGGTCATGTGCTTGGAGCATCCGCTATCAAGGTACCAAAGTACACTTGATGCCTTCAAGCACACCTAAGAAACACATCAATGAGTTTTAGGTACCCAATTTACGTTGGGTCCTCGGGTGTTAGGTGTTTGATGGTAGTGTGCTTGATTTTGTGATAGCTGCCTATGCCTAGTGTAACAAACGGGAGCAATATGGCCTATCCTATTACAATAATGGCAAACTACGTTGGGGTTGTACATGTGTCTAGGTTCATAATAGTTAGAGGGTTTAACCATTTTGTTCCTATTTTGTGAAAACAATGGTTTTTGAAAATTTTGAAACTGACCTTTTCTAGGTGCTCTAGAATTATTTCTCCTAATTTGAGAAAATTCATTTTTATGCACAAAATCATTTTTCTTAGGTTGTCTACCATGACCATTTTCATTCCTAGGTTTTAGTCTAGGTTGTCTAGTGTCCTTAGGTTGACTAGGTTTTCTATTATCTTGATTTTTAGGTTTCTTATGTTGAACCTTAGATGATTGTCTAGGTGGTGGCTCAACATTTTCTTTAGCTTCATTTTTATTGAAACCTATTCCTTCCTTAGAAAAGTGCATAGTGTCAAGCAGTAAATTTAAGTCTTTGTGAGGAGTATTAAATTTCTTGACCGTGCTCTCAAGTGTGCTCTCAAGTTTAGCGACTTGCTCTTTTAAAGCTTTACAAGACCCACATTCACTTGATGAACTTTCCGGTTTGTCATCGCTTCTTTTTCCAAAAAATTTGTTTTCTTGTTTAAGTATTTCATTTTATTTTTCCAATTTTTCAAAATCATTTTCAAGTGTAGAAAGACGTTTCTTCAAAGATTTATTTGTTTTAGAAGCGCTAACAAATTCTTCATAAAGTTCATGAAGTGCTTCTTGCATTTCTTCAAAAGTATAAGAGTCGGAAGAAATGGTACATACCTCTTGGACGTCGTCGTTTTGATCTTCGTGCGCCATGAGGCAAAGATTTGCAACTTCTTCCTCCTCTTGGTCGGTTTATTCGTCGCCGGAATCGCCACCCCAAGAGATGTAAGCCCTTTGCTTCTTGAAGTCGGGCTTGTCCTTGCCGTGTTTGGCTTTTGAACACCTTGGCTTGATGTGACCAATCTCGCCACAGCCATAGCACTTGGGAGGACCGTCGTGCTTCCTTCCCTTCCGCTCAAATTCCTTCTTCATGAACTTGTGGAACTTCTTGATGACGAGTCCAAATCTGTTGTCGTCATTGCTTGAAACCTCTTCCACCGGTTCCTTGGTGGCTTTGAGAGCTATCCCCTTTTTCTTTTGTTCATCCAAAGACGGGGTTAGAATAGTAGATTCATAGGTTTTAAGATTACCTCTTAGCCCGTCGATGGTGACGTTGGAGACTCCAATGGATTCATAGATTGCATCGGCTTTTGACCTCCATTTGGGAGTGAGGCTTCGGAGGATTTTCCTTACGAGATCCTTGTTGGTATACGTCTTCTTAAGAGCATGAAGATCGTTTATGATTTTTGAGAACCGATCAAACATGTCGTCGATTTTCTCACCTTCCTTCATTCGAAACATTTCATATTCTTGGGTGAGAAAATCGATCTTGGCTTCCCGTACTTGATCAGTACCTTCGTACGTTACTTCAAGCTTGTCCCACATCTCCTTGGCGGTTGTGCAACAGGAGATCTTTCGGTAGTCATCGGGGTTGACTGCGCAATATAGCATATTCATGGCCTTTGCATAATTTTCAATCTTCTTGATGTCCTCGGCATCAAACTCGTCCTCAGTTTTTGGAACCGTGGTTTCTCCTACTTTCTTCATTGGGATTTCCTCTCCGTTTTTGATGACCAACCATAATTGGAAGTTGGTGGAACGGATATAGATTCTCATCCGTTCCTTCCAATAGGAATAGTTGGTTCCATCAAAGAGTGGTGGCCTAGAAGTGGATTGACCTTATCCAATTCCTGCATAGAGATTTCTAGAAGAAGAGCCCATGATCGCTTTACTCTCAAACGGTTAAGTTTGGACGTGAGTTAGGCTCAGATACCAATTGTTAGAATAATAGACCAACGCTAGAGGGGGGGTGAATAGCATTTGATCAAGAAATCGCAGGAATAAAAATGTATAAACGAGAAGTAAAGAGAAAAGTAAGAGGCACACCAATTTTACCCTAGTTCACCACAACTTGTGGCTAATCCAGCCTCCCGAGAGACTCTCTCGAGCTACACTACTATCTCGTTAAGCTTAACGGTGCTCAACAAACCCGTACAACTTGAGAGTTCGAGTCACACGAACCTCAACAAACCTTCGAAGAAAACAACCCTTCCTTCGAACAACAAGAGAAATACTTTCTCTTGTCAAGTGTCTAAGAATAGGAGTTGTGAAGTAATGTGATGTGTAAAACAGACCCAAACTCCCCATTTTATAGTAGAAAAATAGGCTCCAACGGACCAAAACATTTAAGGGGTGATTGGCACAATTTGTGGGATTTGATTAAATTTGGATCTGCTGAAATTCACCCAGACAGCGCTGTCCTAGGCTTGGACATCACTGTTCTAGGCTTGCGTTTTAAAAATTGGGAAGCAACGGTCATGCCAACAGCGATGTCCAATACTCCTACATCGCTGTTTTGGCTGTTGACTTCCAAACAAGGAAAGTTTTAGCCTTAAATTCCTTCCAACGGTCAGGTCCCTACATCGATGTTCAATACTAGAACATCGCTGTTTAGGTCTGACTTTGAAGATGGAAGTTTGGCTTGACAGCGCTGTTGCTAGGTCAACATCGCTGTCCAAAAACTTTCTGCCAATGCACTTTATTTTTGGCTTAGGTTGGACAGCGCTGTAGGGAAGCCTACATCGCTGTTCTAGATGTTTCTAGAAATCCAACCTTGGCTCAACAACGATGTCTAATATCCAACATCGTTGTTGGAAGACTTAACGCCAAACCATGGTTTTCAGCTACCCAAGCCACACAGCGCTGTTGGTTACACCAACATCGCTGATGGGCTTGTTTAGCCAGACCCATAGTTGGTTTAGTCATGCCGTTAGCCGATGTCAAAAATGTAAGTTTTCCAAAATAAAAACCAAGTATTGAAAACATTTGTTTATTGCATTTTGCTAAGAAATCAAGTAAAACATCTTAAAAACCACGTCATTTAGTTGAAAACCACAGCTAACCAAGTATGCGCCGTTTCGCATGGTTTTCACTAAACGACCAAAAGCAGAAGGTGGTTTTTGAAGCGTTTTTGTTGGATAACTATTTAAATATGCCCAGAAGTAAAAACCAGTCATAAAAAGTTGAAAACAACTTGGTTGGTTCGGACGCCAAAAACCAACGCCGAAAACCGAAAGCCGAACGCCGGTTTCTGAAAGCCGAACACCGGTTTCTGAAAGCCGAACGCCGGATGGCTTGGTTTTTTGATCTGGGCGAACTCCAAGTGTTTTTAGTCATGTTGAAGACTTATGAAAAACATTTTTGAATTTGTAAAAATTATTTTGATGAAATGAGCCTAGAGAGCCAAGTTTTGAAAGTTTGTGCCGGTGTTGATCACATTAAGACCGACTCAATGCAATTCTAATTCTTCGTTCTTGATTCTTGGTTCTCAAATCATCATGCCATGTTCCTTCGCCTTGGTTTTGCTCACTTTAGCCTTGTTATGTCACGGCGGTTTGGCATTATCAAAACCTGTCATAAAAACGAACACAGTTTAGTACGACGTAGGCGTAAACCCCTGTTCCAACACTGAGTACTCCACTCAATAAAGAGCTACAGTCCAGAATTCTTGAACAACAGCTAGAAGACGGATTCTGTGGAAAAAGGAATCCCTCCTCAAACAATTGGGTATCTCCAAACACCCATTCCAATGAGGAATCCTCACATCACAATCTTCATTCAAAATTGAAGCCAGCAAATGCAACGGATAGTCTATTTTGATTCAACGGATAGATTACCCAATCCAGCTATAAATAACATCCTTGGAAGACTGGAGAAAAACACGAATGAGATACAAGAGAACTGATCCATCATCAACCTAACTATAACAAAGCTATCTCATTCACAGTTAGCCAAAAAGCTTGATAAAGAGAGATTTCTAAACTCCTTATCCAGAAGCAAACTTCTCCTCCTTCCAAAGAGCTATAATGTAAACACTTGAAGGTTTCCTTGCCTCAAGTACCACACCACATTGAAGGATACAGCTTTTAATCAAACTTCTTGGTTACAAAGGGGGTACATCAACTTTCTTATTACAAGTTGATCTTGCAAGTCCTATTGTTCGGATCTTACAGTTGTTGAAGAAGCTTGACCTTCGAAGGAACAACAAAGTCAGCACGAGTGCAGTAGCAACATTGGCCTTGCGAAGATATACCGTGCAGAAATTCACACGAGTGTAATTGTTGGTTCATTATTCAACAACCAACTACATAGTGCATTTTGAGGACGTAGAAGGATTACCCTACCTTCGAACCTCGTTAAAGTTTGCATGTCTCTCTCTTTTATCTTTACTTATACTTGCATTATATTAACTGTGAAAACTTACCCATCCATATTGATTACTGCTCTATTAATCCACCAAATTCCGCACACAATCTAAGGTTCACAAGAACTCTAGACTAAACACCCATTTTCACGTTTTCAAAAATAAACGAAAAAGTTTTTAATTTGTAACAAAGTCTATTCACCCCCCTCTAGACTTTGTATCTCACCACTTTGGGACCACCAATTGGTATCAGAGCTAACTTCTCACTATCTACACTTAGATTAACGAGAAGCGATCATAATGGTGAACAATATGGATCACGGTTTGCCCAAGTTCTCTCTTCTAGGTTATGATGATTGGAAGATCATGATGGAAGCACACCTCGACGCCCTACATGATTGCATGTGGATGGTGCTTGAAGATGGACCATTGAAAATCCAAATGGAGAATCTTGAGAGGAATCCAACAAATCCTGATGTAGTCAGTCCACTACATTCCAAAGCCCAAGGAGAAATGGGATGATAGAGATTGCAAGAAGCACAATCTCGACAACGTCGCCAAAACAGCCATCTTCAAGACACTTGATCCCATCACCTTCTCTAAGATCAAGCATCTCAAGACTGCCAAGGAGATATGGCAAGGTCTTGGGAAGCTGTGTGAGAATTTAGAGGATCTGAGAAAGCAGAAGATAGAGGTCCTACTTGAGAAGTTCAAAAGCTTCAAAATGCTTCCCGGAGAATCATTTAATATGTTGGATGAAAGATTCCACAAAATCTTAAATGATCTTGCATCACTTAACCACGTTCTTTCTCCCAAAGAAAAGAATGTAAGGTTACTGAGATCTCTTCCAACTGAGTGGTACATGAAAGGTAACCACGGTTGGGAGGGCAGCGGAAATATAAAAATTTAATCTCCCAATAGTGATTACTAGCCCAAGAACAAGTACTAAAACTATAGCTAGAGATAGAAAGTTATACCTTCTCCGGTAAAGCGGTATGAACGAGAAGTCGAGCAAAAAGTGTTGAAGGAGCAAACATAGCCGTTCAAGTGTCCGTCCTCCAACTTTGACACACGAACAATCTCCGGAATCTACTATAATCTTTATGCTAGTAAAGATTATAATAGTATATTAAATATAAAGATTATTTTGGGATAATATTAACTTTGTATATTAGATACTAGAAAATATATCAATAATATTTTAAAGAAAATATTATATCAATTTTCTACACCCAAAATAGTAACTTTTGAACTCAAAAGTTTTTCTCTTCCTCTTCAAGTTTTTGGCCGAAAACCTTTTCTCATGGATGAAGAAATTGCAAATGATATATTTTAAAAGGAATAAAGGTGAAACATCATCAAATGCTAAACAACAAAAGTACATGGCTTATCATGTAGTGTAGTGGGAGACAAAGCCCCCACACACTCAATTTCAAGCATGGTACGAAATTAGAAGGGGGGAAGAATTTAATTTTCTCCTCTCAAATGTTCAAAGTGTATTTTATTTGACATCAATAATTTTTATGATATAAAATAAAATACCCAAAACATTTTAAAACAAGTATATAAAATATAATTTAAAATAGTTTTTGTCAAAATAATTATTTACATAATTAAAATGACACTCCAAAATAAAATGTACACAATATAATATATAATGTAATATATATATATACATACATAAGTAATAAGCGGTATCTAGCAACACATTATTACCCCCAGATTATAAGTTCAGACGTTTGCTCCGTCTACACCAATACTATAAGTAATAAGCGGTATCTAGCAACACATTATTACCCCTAGATTATAAGTTCAGACGTTTCCTCCGTCAAAACCTTTCTACGACTAAGACTTTGTATAACGTAGATCCTTTTGTCCCAATGTCTTAACTTAGTGCAAGGGATATAAAATATCCAACTTGTAGCCATTAAGTTATTTACTGATTAATAATTCTGACTGATGAGAACAGATGTCTAAACTCATCTCAGCATGGCCAAGCATTTCTTCAATCATACTTATCAGTGGGGCCCTACAAGACATTATTCTGCTTGAGTAGCAGTGACAAATTCTTTCTACGTAATCTACGTCTTCGAATATGTGCAGAGGCATGCCCAATACAAAGCCTGTGTACCATCCTTATTTCATACGACTTAGGACAATGAATCAAAGCATGCGGGTTCACACATTTGATGAACGTAATACTTCAAGTCTGAGGATCGTTATACCAATAGTCGCATTAAGGACACTTAGAGCATAGACTAAAAGTCTAGGCAATGTCCTTAAGGTGGGTCAGGTCTGGCATCCTATTATTAACGATAATATCTGCCTGAGAGTATATGCGAACACTCCGTCATTGACCAAGAGACTAGGTCAAACATCTGCCTCTCACTAGTCTCACGCGCACTAACGATATCTCACTCCGTTAATGCTTCGACTATATACCGTTCAGAATTATACTAAGTGACAAGATGTAAGTCTTAACATCAG